ACCAGGAGCGAGGGGCCCGAACAACGCACCCCCCGAAAGCCCTAAGCGACTCACACCAGGAAGTACGTAGGGCCACCGAACGACTCACACCACGAGGAGCCCGAACGACTCACACCAGGAGGAGGGGCCCGAACGACTCACACCAAGACGAAGGGCCCGAACAACTCACACCACGAGAAGCCCGAACGACTCACACCAGGACGAAGAGCCCGAACGACTCACACCACGGAGAGCCCGAACGACTCACACCAGTAAGAAAGGCCCGAACGACTCACACCAGGACGAGAGGCCCGAACGACTCGAACCACCAGGAGCCCGAACAACTCACGCCAGGACGAGGGGCCCGAACGACTGACACCACGAGGAGCCCGAACGACTCACACCAGGAAGAGGGGCCCCTACGGCTACTACTACTACTACTACTACTACTACTACTAACTACTACTACTAAGAATACTACTACTACAACTACCATTACTACTACTACTACTACTACTACTACTACTACTACTACTACCACTACTACTACTACCACTACTACTACTAATACTACTACGACTGCTACTACTACTACTACTACTACTACTACTACTACTACTACTACTACTACTACTACTACTACTACTACTTCCATATAGACCACTGCTCTAGTGACTGCTACTGCTACTGAGACAACTACTGCGACGACGACGTTGACGACTACGTGTGCGATGACTACAAATACTACTTCATCTGCTGCTACTACTACTACTACTACTACTCCTACTACGAGGGGCCCGAACGACTCGCACCAGGACGAGGTGCCCGCACGCCTCACACCACGAGGAGCCCGAACGACTCACACCAGGACGAGGGGCCCGAACGACTCACACCACGCAGAGCCCGAACGACTCACATCAGGAGGAGGGGCCCGAACGACTCACACCAGGACGAGGCGCCCGAACGACTCACACCACGAGGAGCCCGAACGACTCACACCACGACGAGGGCCCCGAACGACTCACACCACGATGAGCCCGAACGAGTCACACCAGGAGGAGGGGCCCGAACGACTCACACCAGGATGAGGGGCCCGAACAGCTCACACCACGAGAAGCCCGAACGACTCACACCAGGACGAAGAGCCCGAACGACTCACACCACGAAGAGCCCGAACGACTCACACCAGGAAGAAGGGCCCGAACGACTCACACCAGGACGAGAGGCCCGAACGACTCGAACCACGAGAAGCCCGAACGGCTCACACCAGGACGAGGGGCCCGAACGACTCACACAACGAGGAGCCCGAACGACTCACACCAGGAATAGAGGCCCGAAGGACTCACACAAGGAATAGGGGCCGAAGGACTCACACCACGAGGGCCCCCAACGACTCCCACCAGTCGTCGTCGTCGTCGTCGTCGTCGTCGTCGTGGTCGTCGTCGTCGTCGTCGCAGCCGCCTTCGTCGTCGTCGTCGTCGACGTCGTCGTCGTCGTCGTCGTCGCGGTTGTGGTCCCCGTCGTCGTTGCGATCGATATCGTCGTCGTCGTCGGGTGCGTCGTCGTTGTTAGGATCATCGCTGTGGTCGTCGTCTCCGCTAAATCCCTCTTGCCTCCCACCGCTTTCTCTCCCTCCTCCTCCGCCTCGTCCTTCTCCCGCTCCCCCCACAAGGAGGATGTACAAGGAGGCGGGAGGAAGGAGGAACAGGGGAGATATGCGGGGGCAAGCGGACACACGCCTGAAAAACACGACTGTCGGCATGCTTCGCAAGAGTTGCTGTTGTGAGATGGGCTGGTGGGGATACGCGAAGCGTAAAGAATTCGGATTGTCAGGGCCCGACAGGTATGTTGACTTGCGGTGTTGAAGTCCCAGGAACGGCGCTCTGGCACAATCCAGGATGGTC